TCTCTCTCTCTCTCTCTCTCTCTCTCTCTCTCTCTCTCTCTCTCTCTCTCTCTCTCTCTCTCTCTCTCTCTCTCTCTCTCTCTCTTTCTTTCTCCCTCTTTCTCTCTCTCCCTCTCTCTCCTGAAAGTGAAGCTAAGTTCCGGAGTTTCTATCTCATTGGTCTAGGTGGGTCAGTTGTGTTGGATATATGCGCCTAGTTTTTGTCGTCTTCCCCTGTATGGAAACATGATGAAGAAAAATAACGGGGCCCGGAAGTGTGTATACGGTCCATTGTTCTCCACTTTACCAGTCTCAGCTGTGAATCGTACTCAGCAGGCACCAAGGACTATTGGAATAAACAGACCAGCAAAGTATTTTAGAAGAAAACTTCCATTGTTCTATTGTTGTTGCTGTGAAGGTCATCTCTCCTACTTTCCACCATTGTTCTATTCGCCGGTTCCTCCTTCCCCTCCTTCCCCTCCTTCCCCTCCTTCCCCTCCTTCCCCCTTGCCCTGCTCGCCCTCCTTTCCGTCCTTGTCTGTCCTTACCTCTGCCTCCCCTCCATTGCTCCTCCTCCTCCTCCTCCTCCTCCACCTCTCCGCCACCTCTCCTCCTCCTCCTCCTCCTCCTCCTCTCCCTTCACCTCCTCCTCCCCCTTCTCCTCGAGCATCACTTCCTATTCTCTCGTCATCCACACCCAGCTTTCCATCCCTCCTCCGGCCATCCCTCCCCCTTGCTCCCTCCTCCCTCTTCCTCTTTGCTACCTCCTCCTCCTCTTCCTCCATCCCTCGTCCCGCCATTCCTCCCCCTTGCTCCCTCCTCCCTCCCTTCCTCTTTGCTACCTCCTCCTCCTCTTCCTCCATCCCTCGTCCCGCCATTCCTCCCCCTCGCTCCCTCCTCCCTCTCTTCCTCTTTGCTACCTCCTCCTCCTCCTCCCCCACTCCTCATCCTTGACCTTCCTCTCCTCCTCCGCCTCATCGGTATCTTTCTCCTTCTTCACTACTCTTCCTTCCGTGTCCCCTGCCTTCCTTCTAGGTTTATTGGACTCCAAGGTATCATCTTTTGTGGATTGACTCTCTCTCTCTCTCTCTCTCTCTCTCTCTCTCTCTCTCTCTCTCTCTCTCTCTCTCTCCCCCCTTTTGGTCGCATTTGGCAATCTGCAGCGAAGGTATCAGCCCCCGGAAAAGGCAGTGGCATGAAGCTAGGAAAGTCGCAGAAAGCAAACAAGTTACTCGAATCTCTCAAGGCAGAGGGCGAGATTACAGAGTCGGATGTTGCACCGCCCGGTGGTCAGGCAAAGACGGCGCTGCGTGTGGCACCAACAGATCCGATCTCCGTCGTCATTGAGGAAAAGCTGACCTGCGTCCTGAAAAAGGAAGGTGGTCTTGATTCGCTGGGAGTAATGGGAACGATCTCGCTGGAGGTTCAGAAGGAAGAAGATGCGTTTGTCCGTGTCCAGGTATATGCAGCCGGTTTCTTTCGTTTTTTTTCCCCCCTTGTTTCTGTCGTTCTTTTTTTTTTTTTTTTTGGATCATTTCTCGATTGATGCATGCCGTCCTTGTGCAGGGTCCATGCTAATCTGTCTTCCGTATCGCTCCAATTTTAACGAATGTCCCGAAGGACTTTCTTTATCGTTTTTTTCCTTTTTCTTTCGTTCTAATCCAGCCCAGTCGGGATCATTTTCTAATCTAGTTCGAAACCTCTTCCACTCCAGTCCGAGCTGAGTAGGCCCAATGTTCAGGTCAGTCTGAATCCAGTTCCCATTTCAGTCCAGTTCCACTAGATTTCTCTAGATTAGTCCGAATCTAGTCCCAATTCCAGTCCTAATCCATCACAGTGCAATTTAGTCCAGTAGTTCGGATCTTTTTCTCTCACCTGACCTATTTTACAATGTTTTAAATTGTTTTTCGCTTTCTCCTCCCCTGGAGTTGGATTTCGTCCAGGTTCGTTCTGAATCCAAACTTCTCTAAATCCAAGATTCCAAGTCCAATCCAGGTCCGATCTGACTCCGAAGCCGGTTCCAATCCGGTTCCACTTTGGTTCCTTATTCTATTCCAATCTTGTTCCAATCTGGGTTCAATCTGCCCCGATCTGTCCCACTCTGTTCCCAATATTGTCTCATTCTTCTTTTTTTTTTTTTTTTTTTTTTTTTTTTAATTCGAGTTCCAGATTGGTCCCACCCTGTGCCGAGTTCCTGTCCGAAGGCCATATCCCTCCGGAGTTTTCTGTGTGGGCGCACTGCGATTTAGAGAAGTTTGGATTATTGCTGATTCTGCGTTGAGGAAGTTATTTTGCCATCGGCATCTGCATGTAATATGTATGCATGTTGGATGTGAAATCGAGACGAGTCTGAGTGCACGAAGGTTCAATTTATCGGCTTCTTCTTTTTGTTTGTATTAAGATAATTAAGTGAAGTACTATTAACTGTACCTACTTCTGAATCTGCGCTTGGGCTAATCTTTCCTGCTGCAACTTTCTCATTCACTGTCTCTGAATTTTTTTTTTTTTTGTGCTGTTTTCAGTCTCATTTAGGCCAAAAACTTGTACGGTGCGGAACCAGTCGATTCTGTTCAATTCCATTTCAATTCACTTCATCACAACTGATCCAAATCCATGGATGCTTTGTCTCACTCGTGCGCCCTTTCTCTTGTTCTTTTTTTTTTGGCGAACATCTGCGCGTACGTTGTTGCTCTTGTGCATCTGCAGCAGCTAGAGACAAGCGCCAACTGTGTTCAATTCCATTTCAATTCACTTCATCCCGACTAATCCAAATCCGTGGATGCTTCATCTCACTCGTGTGCCCTTTCTCTTGTTCATTTTGGCGAACATCCGCGCATACGCCGTTGCTCTTGTGCGTCTGCAGCTAGAGACAGGCGCCAATCATAGCTTCAAGTTCAGGCCTCATCCGAACATAGACAAGGCATTGTACGCCAAGGAGAAGCGTCTCGGACTAAGAGATCCATCGAAGCCCTTCCCCACTTGCACTGCAGTGGGAATTCTGAAGTGGATCATGCAGACAAAAGACGAGTCGCTTGTACCTCTGACAGGTTAGTATTTCAAACCGTTGAATGCCGAATCCGAAAACTTAACGACGAAGTCGAAAACTGAACGTCGACTTTGAAAAGTTATTTGCACAGGCAGGCTTGATCTGTGTGAAGTCTTGAAAGCGTGCAGTTGCAAAATTATGATCAGACATTCAGCAACGAGTCGATGCCCGCACGACGCTCGCGCACTGGGTGCGGCACACCTGGAAAATAAGGGGTCGAGGAAAAAAAAAATGTTGGGGAGGGGTGTTTTAGACCCAAGTGGGATGTCGCGTCATAAACCACAAAAAAATATTAACAAAAATTTGAGGCTGCGCGGGGCCTCCGAAAAAAAAGGGGAGAAGTTCGTTCTTTTGTTCGTGTGTGTGTGTGTGTTGTGTGTGTGTGTGTGTGTGTGTGTGTGTGTGTGTGTGTG